TCACAGCAATCAAGACTTTAATATTGTCATACTGGTGGTTGAGGCAGAAATGCAAGGAAAGGCTGGAAAATGAATGGCTAAACCCATATAATTTACTACTGTATATTACCATTAAAAGTAAAATCAGGTTATCTAGGTTATCGCCCTGCAATCCTGGATCAGAAATCTTGGTTTTTTATAAGAACTGCTGGGATCACGACTCTCATGAGCTGAACGCTGTTCAAAATCCAAACAAGACTAATTCTACATGCGCATATAAATAACATAGTGCAACATTGTTAGGACTGCACCATTTCAGACCTCAGGGATAGAGAAACTCATATATTATAAGCGATCAGGAATCTTTTGCAAATTCAGGGTAATACAATTTAAATTAAAAAATAAGTATATATTTGAATATTCCCACAAATGTAAAAGCCACAACAAATCTCTATCCTCATTAAGATGAAAAGCCCTTGTGAGCCTTTCCTTAATATTCTATGCATAGGAAGTTCTTAACACAGAAAACGCTCAAAATTCATTTTCCACGGACATGCACCTACAATTTTGAAATGAAATTTGGCCCATAACATTCATATGATTCACATGCAGAGTTTGAGTCAGATAGTGCGGACAATCATTCCTTCAGGATGATAAACTTGCCTTGTTGGGTTAGACCAAGAATACTGTAACCCAGCATTCTTAAAAATAGTTGCTAGTTAGGTGCTTCTGGGTACTCAGAAGCAGGCCATGAAATTCATTGTATTCTTTCTGTTGTCTGTTTTCAGCATCTGAACAGCTTTTCTAAGGTAAAGCATTTATGAAAATGGATTTCATTTAGTAAAAATCATAGAAACCTCCTCTGTGTAATGTGTCTAATTTTTTTAAGTTAGCGGCTATCACCTTTAATTGTGGCAGCACCTGTGTGCCATATCTTAATTCTATGTTTAGTGGAGAAGTACTTTGGTGGAGGGAGAGTGGGGGGCTGCCTGAATTTATTGCCAGTTAGCTCTATGGGGTTGAGATGAAGATACTTTCCTTCAACCACAGACCAATCTCATTGATGTCCACTATTCCACTATTGTTTTGCCATTGCTGTCCAAGCATGTGCAGAGGAGTGAAACGCAGTTCTGGAATTCTGTTCTATATAAAACTTCTGAAAACTTTTTCCCCCCTAAAATACTACCAAATTCTATATCAATAAATTACAGGCATTGGACAACCTTGCACGCTCTTGTGTCTTTTGAATACTTCTTGCTCCATTCTTTGGCCCATTCTTTTTCTCAATATTTTCAGCCATGCATCTACTGTATGTTTGTAATGCCTCTATCTGAAAAAGAGAGAGAACTCAGGACAAAAGGATGAGGATTTACTAAGTGAGGTGGACTTTGTCTAAAGTTCTGTGTGGATCAAGATGGACACTAAGTTAAATATGTGGCTACTCCCCCAGGCCCCTTTTTAGTCTGTCATTAGTGCATGGTAGATTGATCTGGATTGAAATTACTGCTATGCAGACATAAATTTTCCAGCCAAAGGACATAAGGGGAAGGATTAAATTTTCTTCCTTGCACCACAAGATGGGAGAGCAGTTGCAGGCTGCGTATTTTACCTATTGTAAAGTTTGCCTCTAATTTTTAAAATTTTCTGTAAAAAACAATCTGCATTTTCTCTCCCTGTGGCATCCAAATATGCAAACTATTTTACTTATTTTAAAGGCAATTTAAGAAAGAATATCACAAGGATAATTTAGACTGCAGTAAATTATATTTTATTCCATTCATTTTATAATTTGTAAAACATTGAAAAGGTCTTTTAGTGAGGTTTGAACCTTAGGGCGCAATCCATTTTTTGTCAGAACTTGTTATGCACGCACTGACTTTCTACTAAATTAAAGAGCCCTTGTATGTGGGAGGTGATCTTGAAAATGCTGTGACACACGGATTCCATTCATACAGAATGGTGAGCAGTCCTGTTGGGCCAAATTATTTCATCACATGAACTAGGAAGGCACTGAACACGGATTTTCGCTGCAGGTGAAAAACAACGGTGGAGGGAAAGATGTCTTTGCAGGGATGTTTCTGCAGTTTCCAGTCTTCTAGGGGAACTACAGGCATTCCTGCGCATTCCCTAGAACAATTGGAAAACTACTGCTCTAAAATAAACATGAACAGAAAGCAGAATGAACCGAAGCAGAGGTGGACAGAAAGCACACTCAGATTTACTGAAATCTGTGGGTGATTTACAGCAGTAAGGGTTTCTGAATCCCATTTGATTTAACAAATGACTTTCTCCCTCTGTAAAGGCTGCTAATGGCAGAAAGTGAAGAAGAACTAAAGAGCCTCTTGATGAGGGTGAAAGAGGAGAGTGAAAAGCTGGCTTGAAAC